CCGCCGCTTCCATCGCCTCCACCTTCTCGGCTTACCGCGACTTGCCCAACGTGAGAGCGTACGACGTGGGAGATGGAGCGCCGGAGGGTTACGTGCGGGTGGGGAAGCCTCGGGAGGACATCGAGCCGTTCCTGAGGGCGGCCCCAGCCAACTTCAGGAAGGGGAGGAGGGTGAGCTGCTTGGTCTCCGACGCCTTCTTCTGGTTCGGCGCTGATATGGCGGCGGAGATGGAGTTGCCGTGGGTGGCCTTCTGGACTGCTGGCCCTGCCTCTCTCTCTGCCCATCTCTACACCGAACATATCAGGCAAACTCTCGGCGTTGAACAAGGTAAGTAAGTAAATTATTGGGCAAGCACTGTGTTATAGTTCACTAAAATAATGGAGTGGAGTCATCTTGGAGTTGCAGGAATTGAAGGGCGAGAAGATGAGACCCTGCACTTCATCCCAGGAATGTCGAAAGTGACCATCGAGGGACATGCCAGAAGGAGTGGTGTTCGGGGACTTGGACTCACTCTTCTCCCGCATGCTTTGCGACATGGGGAGAGCCTTGCCGAGAGCAGCTGCGGTGTTCTTGAACAGCTTCGAGGAGTTGGACCCAACCATAACCGATGATCTCAAGTCCAAGCTCAACAACTTCCTCAACGTGGGTCCCTTCAACCTCATAGCCACTCCACCGCGTGCTTCCGACGAAAGCAGGTGCATGTCGTGGCTGGACGGACAAGGAAGGGCCTCCGTTGCCTACATTAGCTTTGGGTCAGTGACGGTGCCCCCTCGGGAAGAGACTGTGGAACTAGCAGAGGCCTTGGAAGCGAGCAACGTACCCTTCATATGGTCTCTCAAGGACCATTTAAGAGAGAATCTGCCAGAAGGGTTTCTGAAGAGGACCGAGACAAGAGGGATGATGGTGGCATGGGCACCACAGGAGGAGATACTGAGGCACCATGCCGTCGGCGCATTCATAACGCACTGCGGTTGGAACTCATTACTGGAGAGCATAGGGGGTGGAGGAGTGGCAATGATTTGTAGGCCGTTCTTCGGGGACCAGAGGTTGAATGGGCGGATGATGGAGGAGGTGTGGGGGCTTGGAGTGGGAGTTGAGGGGGGTGTGTTCACCAAGAAGGCCGTGATGAGTTGCTTGCAGCTTCTTCTATCCCAAGAAAGAGGGGAAATCATGAGGGACAGCATGAGAGCCCTCCGACGCCAAGCTGAGGCGGCGGTAGGACCCCACTCGCAACTTCAAGCTCCTCTTGGACCTTGTGTCAAAGCCCTAACATGTTCTCCGATCCAATATACTCTACACCCTCACCAACCGAATTTAAAACTTCATTTCTGGCTCCAATAATTTCCTTCATTAGTTAAAGCTAAGTTTTAGTGAGAAATGGGTTGCTTTGGTTTTGCAATGTGTTATATTTAATCGAAGCTTTTGCCTTACTTTCAACCCTCGAGAGGCATTCGACGGGGTGACCCACTTCCCAATATTTTTTTTTATACCTATGTTTGATAACGATACAAAATTTCTCCCTCCTAAGCAGCCGGCGAGTGGGAGGTGGCGGACGGTGGTGGCTGGCAATGGGAGGCAGGCGGCGGCAAGAGGTGGCTAACATTGGGCGGCGGAGGGGGACAATGGCCGGCGGTAGAGGACGGAAACGGGAGGCGGCCGGCGGTGGAGGATGATGACGGGAGGCAGCAGGCGGGTGGGCGGCGACGGGAGGTGGGCGTTGTTGGACGACGGCGGGAGGTGGGTGATGTTGGGCGGCGACGGGAGGTGGGCGGCAGCAGGAGGTGGCCGGGGTTGGGCGGCGGCGGAGGACGGCCAGAGGCGGCCTACGGTGGGAGGCGGCCGACGTTGGGCTGCGGAGGAAGGCAAACGGCAGGTGGCGGGAGGCGACCGGCGGTGGAGGACGGCGGCAGACGGCTACGAATGGCGGCCGGCAAGCAGCGGAGGACAACGGTTAGCGACGGTGGTAGGTGACCGACGGCGATGGTGGAGCGGCGGGTGGGCGGTCGGCTAGTAGTGAGGGCAAGTGATGAGAAAAGTTTTTATTTCTCATTTTTATTTCAAAAATAGAAAAGTAAAAGATTTTTACTTATGATTTCTGTTCCAAACCTATTTTTGGAGTAGAAATTTGTTCCAGAAATGGAAAAATGAAATTACGTTACCAAATGGATTTCTGTTCCAAACTTGTCCCTGAGAACAGAAAAATAGAAAAATAGAGAAACAGAATGGCTGTCATGCGCACCTAATGCTCTGTCCTTTCTCGTAAATGATGGCAATTTCAGAGGGATAAAGTTAGCAGATTTTGGCCAACACTGTCCCATCTCTTATTTGCACATCATTCTATTATTCTTTTCTTGATGGAAAAATTGGAGAGTGTAAGAATATAGCAACTATTCTTGCATCGGGTCAAACTATTAATCTGAACAAACATGGGATCTATTTCAGTACGAGCTGTCCATAGAATTTGAGAAGATTCACGGCTCATGAACTACTAGTCCCCGAGATCGAGAAAACAGACAAATATCTGGGTATTGCATCACACTGGGATGTGTTCAAAAATCAAATGTTTGCATGAATTCTGGCCATTATGACATGAAATTGGAAGGTTGGAAAAAAAAAACTGATGTCCAAAGCAAGAAAAGAATTTTAATTAGAGCCGTTCTGCAAGCCTTGTCAATACGTGAAGTCCATCGTTAAAATCCCGATATCCATTTGTCCGGGCTATAAAGCAGAAAATTGCATCATTTTGGTGGAAGAACAATGACTCGAAATCTGGATTGCACCAAGGAGATGGGATTTACTTAAGCATAGGATGGAAATGGGGGTTCCGTTTTAGAGATTCGATTACTTATGACAGAATAATGTTGGGTAAACAGGTATAAAGAAAGACTCCATCTGCACTGTGGAGTTAAGTACTGGAATGGATTTAGCTTCCTCATATTGCTTTTTCGCATGCAGGGAGGGGTCCTCGCCCATCCTGAGGCTGGCAATTCTGGGTAGGAGAAGCCATCTCTCATTCTGTTATGTGGTCAGTAGGAGATGAGGAAAACATCCATATTAGAGAGGACATGTAGCTTAAAAGAGGAGTGATTTGCGGACCAGCAAATTGGAGAGAACCACGGAGTTGCTATTTGATGAACAGATTGTGAATGAAATCCTCATGTTTTATTTTAGGACTGAAACTGTAGAAGATAAAATCGAGTGGGACAGGAAATTATATGGTGAAGACTGGATACAATAGACTAGAATAGGAAGAAGATAAGCCTAGACATTATCAGGCTTTCATCTTCTCACCAGACACCGTGAGCTTTATGGAGCGAAGTGTAAAGCTACCGAAACTAGAGACTCGCCCGATGTCTGGCAGTATTGACCGAAACAGGGAGCTCAATACGGATCCTTTATAGAAGCAACAACCGAGCGTGCCATCTCATATATCTGCCGGGACTACTCTAGGAAACCCGTTGATGGCTTCGCGCGATCTGTCAAGGTAATCTCCATCTTTCAAGCTGAGACCGTCACCTCTATTGAAACCCCTAAGTACTTCAGTTCGAGGAAGGAAGAGTAACTAAGGTTGCGAATGACAACTATTCTGTTTTAGAAATTAATTTCTGACCAGAAATTGATTTTTCTATTTCTGTTCATGGACGAGTTTTTGAGCAAAAAAACACGTTTTATAAGGACACAAAATTTTTGTTCTCGAAACAAAAATTTGTTTAATAACGGCATAAAATTTCTCCATCTCGAGTGGCCGGCGAGTGGACGGCGGGCGGATGGCGGCAACGGACAGCAGTAGCGAACAGCTGGGGGAGGCAGCGGCTGACGGCGACGCGGCTAGTGTGGAGGACGGTGGCTGGAGGCAGCCGGCGACGGGAGGAGGGCGGCCGGCGACGGGAGGAGAGCAGCTGGCAGCGGGAGACAGTGGCTGGTGGATGGTGGGCAGTGGCCCATGGCGGTCGATGGGGGGAGGCAGGTGGCGGTCGGTGGACGGCGGGTTGCGGCCCACTGCGGTCGGCAGTGGGAAGCGAGCGGCGATGGGAGGCGGGCGGCAGCGGGAGGAGGGCGGTCGATAACGGGAGACGATGGCCGGCGTTGGGAGGCGGGCGGCAACGGGAGGAGGGTGGCTGGCGCAAGAGACGGTGACTAGTGGACGGGAGGAGGGCGGCCGGCAGCAGGAGACGGCGAATGGCGGGAGGCGGCAGCCGGCAAGTGGGCGGCGATGGGCGGCGGGTGGCCGACCGGCTAGTAGCGAGGGCGAGTGATGAGAAGAATTTTAATTTCTCATTTCTGTTCCAATTCTATTTCTAAAATCAAAATTTGTTCTAAAAATAGAAAAATGAAATTATATTACCAAACGGATTTATGTTCCAAACCTGTTTTTGGAATAGAAAAATAGAAACAAAATGATTATCATTTGCAGCTTAAACTACTCCTTGAGTAAGATAATCTAAAACTGATGAGCATGTGGAGAGGCTCAGATCAGACAGCTTGGGAGAAGATTTTGTAACTTCAGTTTACATCTTCAATGGGTCCAATTTTAAGAGAGTTCAACAGCACAGCTGATTCGTTGCTCAAATCTTTAGACTGAAGTCCCTACCCCGAAATCGGGCGTCCTATCCTCCGCAGGCCGTCTGGAACTTGTGTCCCGAAACTTCTTTTATGTTTCTCCCGTTTCTCCTTAAAAAGAAATGAAATGGACTTAGCCTACCGACGAAAATGAAAATAATTGTTGAGGGCAATTCAAAAGTCAGGTGTCTCCTGAAATGCACATTCACGAAATCAATGGTATGGTCTCGTAAGAATGTCGCTGATACGCGTCCGATTGAGAAATTCTTTATTTGCTGACTCAGTGATGCCCATGCAGCTTTGACTGGGCATTCAACCTCCAATCAAGCAATGGCAATGGGGGTTACCACGTTCCGTTGGGATTTTTCCAACAACCGTTCTTTCACTCATCTCCACCTAAGTTTATTATATTTGGTTCCTGAACTTCTGTGCTCGCAAAAGAACATCGCTTCTAAGCCATTGTGTTGCGGTAGTTACTTGACAACGTGTTAACCCCCATCTCTCCACTCTCCTTCGCCTTATAATCGGCTTCATTTTGTTCTCTGTCTCGTCCCTTACCCTTCCGGACACGTTCAGAGTATTGACACAAGCTCATAAAATGAGCACCGCAGGCAGAGGCAGCCCCCATGTTGCCGTCCTGGCGTTCCCGTTCTCGACCCACGCGGCTCCCCTCCTTGCTGTGATCCGCCGCCTGGCCACCGCCACCCCGGACACACTCTACTCCTTCTTCAGCACTGCCGATTCCATAGCCTCCATCTTCTCGGCTTCCAACGACTTGCCCAACGTGAGAGCCTACGACGTGGGAGACGGAGTGCCGGAGGGTTATGTGCGGGTGGGGAAGCCACAGGAGGACATCGAGTTGTTCCTGAGGGCGGCCCCAGCCAACTTCAGGAAGGGGATGGAGGAGGCGGTGGCCAAGACAGGGAGGAGGGTGAGCTGCTTGGTCACCGACGCCTTCTTCTGGTTCTGCGCGGATATGGCAGCGGAGATGGAGTTGCCGTGGGTGGCCTTCTGGACTGCTGGCCCTGCCTCTCTCTCTGCCCATCTCTACACCGAGCATCTCAGGCAAACTCTCGGCGTCTGCCGAGGTATTTAAGTAATTTATGGGGCAAGTACTGTATTCTAGTTCACTACTCACTAGCTCTCACGTGATATCATGATACGATTTGCGATATCTTCCTGTCACGTACCATTGTCCCTTCGTTTCATTCCACTCAACTAGCTAGTGAAGTGAAATTTCCTTTTGAATTTGCAGGAATTGACGGGCGAGAAGATGAGACCCTGCAATTCATCCCAGGAATGTCGAAAGTACGGATCAGGGACTTGCCAGAAGGAGTCGTGTTCGGGAACTTGGACTCACTCTTCTCCCGCATGCTTTGCGACATGGGGAGAGCCTTGCCGAGAGCAGCTGCGGTGTTCTTGAACAGCTTCGAGGAGTTGGACCCAACCATAACCGCTGATCTCAAGTCCAAGCTCAACAACTTCCTCAACGTGGGTCCCTTCAACCTCATAGCCACTCCACCTCGTGCTTCCGACGAAAGCAGGTGCATGTCGTGGCTGGACGGACAAGGAAGGGCCTCCGTTGCCTACATTAGCTTTGGGTCAGTGACGGTGCCTCCTCGGGAAGAGATTGTGGAACTAGCAGACGCCTTGGAAGCGAGCCAAGTACCCTTCATATGGTCTCTCAAGGACCATTCAAGAGAGAATCTGCCAGAAGGGTTTCTAAAGAGGATCGAGACAAGAGGGATGATGGTGGCATGGGCACCACAGGAGGAGGTACTGAGGCACGATGCAGTGGGCGCATTCATAACGCACTGTGGTTGGAACTCGCTACTAGAGAGCATAGGGGGTGGAGGAGTGGCCATGATTTGTAGGCCGTTCTTCGGGGACCAGAGGTTGAATGGGCGGATGATGGAGGAGGTGTGGGGGCTCGGAGTCGGCGTTGAGGGGGGTGTATTCACCAAGAAGGCCGTGATGAATTGCTTGCAGCTTCTTCTATCCCAAGAAAGAGGGGAAATTGTGAGGGACAACATGAGAGCCCTCCGACGACAAGCTGAGAAGGCGGTAGGACCAGACGGGTCCTCCACTCGCAACTTCAAGCTCCTTTTAGAGCTCCTATCCATCCCCTAACATGTTTCCGGCCCAACCTATATTGCAACCACAGCAACTCAATGTGAAATTTCCTTTGTTTCCGCCACCGATAGTTTCTCCCCCCTTCAGTTCCTTGTAGGGAAATAAATAATGAGTTTCCAGCATCCTTTTCATTTGCAAGTCGGGCAGCCAATCTCTCTCTTAAATGAACCAACATGAGCATAAAAGGGAGATGAAGCTGGAATTGAAAATACCAAGTCTATGTATTAATTAATGTCAAGGTACAACCACTCCCCAAAAATTGACAGGGTGACCAAGTTAATACCCTCGAAACCCAAACATTCTACAAATTATAAAGCAAAAAGAAAGAGGAAAAAAAAAGGATATAGCTGCACAACCTGTTACCACAGTTCCCGTACCACGAATTATCACTATAGTTGAAAATGAGAAATTTACGGTCTGCCTCTCCTAGTCAGAGACACAATCTAGTCCAGGACTAAAAACCCCTAAATCAGTACCTAACTAATCTACACAGCTGCCACGAGGTGAACAAGGCAATATCATCACCAGCACCTATGACTTTGCACTTCACTTGCCATTATAATTCGCGGAAAACTTCTGGCGGACAAAAGAGAAACAATCCATAGGGTGAAAACTGCTAAATCCGTTGGCCTCCTCGTTTTTGGTAAGTTGATGAAGGTGCCTCAGCCAAACTCGAAATTCAAAACATCTGAAATCATGTTCGAGAACATTTGCAATCTATGAGTCCAACATCTCGTCCTGTATCTCATTTGGGGCAATGAGCCCTGGAATAGAAAGCATCCTTTGTCGCTCTCTTTCCCTCTGAGCAGCAGCCTCTTCCGCGTAGAGGTCTTTGTTATCCTGTGTAAAGCACAGGCTTTAGAAGCAGAAAGAAAATATAACCACTCGCGAGACAACACCAGCCAATAGATAGTACTGACTACCTGAGCCGAAAATTCTTTTGATTGGACGAGAAAGTCTCTGATGTGATTCTTGAATGTGGAGAGGTCATTTGTCGACTCCAGGAGACCGTTCACAAATTGGGTGACCTGAAAGATAATTCCATCAACATCCTAATATCTGACAAGTTTCATTGTAGCAGGAGATTAACTACAAAGGTCCATCCGTAAAATTCCAACATCAGCCCCCTGATCCACTATCTTGAGAAAGGTGGTGCAGAGCAACAGACAACCAATCTCTTGCTTGTCAATATCCACCCCGAACTTTTTGATGTCATCAACAACATTCCTTGTTGATGTACTTCAATGAACTCTTTCTTTCCAACATTTAAGTTATGATAATAGAATGGATAGAAAGAGCAGGACTCCCTCATAAACGTTCTATCCACGATATTTTATTGCAGTCAGAAGAGTCGGCACCCTCATACCTCTGCTACAGTCATGTTAGGAAATGAAGTGCCCAACAGCTTTATGGTGTATTCACGAACAAAGACTGCATTATTTGGATAGGGATAAGGAACTGTTGAGGCATCCCACAGAGGCTCCGTCAATGCACCACTCTCCCCCTGCAAAACTTTGCTCTTAGCCAAGGCATAATGCATTTATCTTCAATCCAGTGAAGGCAATAAAGCATCATTTACCAGACAAAACAGGTGTTGCAGGACTAAAACGTGCAACTTGAACCCTGGTTTATGAAAAGTGTCCGTTAAAACAGCAAAAATTTCTTGCTCTATCGTCAGAAAATACGTCCTGTAGAACTGATTACAGAACTCAGAAGCCTGCCAAATTGCCAAAAAAAAAAGTCAGCAGTCGGCATGATGCAAAGATGCCGCAAAATAAAGGATGTCGCTTGGATAGACCCAATTGTAACCAAAATGACATCACGTATGCTATTATGCAGATGGCAATACAGAGTCTCAACAACCGATTAAAAGTCCAGACATTCCATGACAAAGCATCCAGGCACTAAGTAAGGTCTCATAATTCAAGAAAAGGACCAGCAAACCTGAAAGTTCTTCAGCATCTCCAACAAGAGGTTTAGCCCAGTTTCAGCAATATTTCTCTCCGTGTGCCGAAAAGCCCAGATGATCGAATCCATTACCAGCTTAAGTTGCTAAAGCAAACCAAAGGCATTCACATCAATCATAAGTCCATCAATAGAGCACAAGGCAAACAGGATATTTTCAGAACACTTGAGAAAAAGGAAGCGGAAATAGATTAGTTTCATAGATCTACCTGACTTGACAGTCTAATTAATGCAGGAAAACAGTGAGCAGCAATGGCGCGGAGTAAAGAAAAGAATTTCAACCGATGCTCAGGGTAATCTTCAAAATTTTTGGTTATCATCTGTGACAACAAAAAGTAAGTATTCAAACAAACAAAGAAACAAGATGAAGTTTCGATCTAAGCTAAATCGCACTTGACTTTGAAATGCAGAAATGGAAGTCCACAGCATTAGGTATAATTCCAAAACGCACTCACCATAATTACAAAATTTCCAATTTAAACATACATAATTTGCCGCATTATTTAATCCTTCAAGGAGATCGACCTGCTTTAGAAAACTCCCCATGGCTAGGGAACTCACAATCGACAGTGGGGCTAGCCCTCTCCCTGGCTAAAGGCGCAGACAATACGGCTTTTGGCCTATTCATTCTGGCTTCGTAATGGCAAGTATACAAACTCATACATTGGTCTAAAACAAAAATTTCTATACATAATAATTAATCCTTCAAGGAGATCAACCTGCTTTTATTTAGTCCCAGGTAATGTTCATCTGTTACCAAAGATCCATGGCACACGACTCACAGGGAACAAATTACTTCTAAATTGCACCTCGCATGAGCTTCATTACAAGAAAAAAAAGGTAACAACACACATACAAGCACCAAATTGGAGCATATCCCACCTCTAAAGTGCATTGGAAAACAGCCTCAAAAATGCGAGGCACATCCTCTATCATTACAACCTTGTACCTATATGAAGAAAAAAAGGTCATCAGAAAATGGCGAATGGATAAGCACCTTGCAAAAACCATTGAAGGAGTAGAATTTATCTATCACACCATCACCATTATTTCAACAAAAAGCAGCGCGGCTCTTCTATAAGCACGACCAGTGATGTTGATGAGATAAACAAATTGCAGGAGCCCACATGGCAATCAAATGAGACATTTAAAACAGCAGAAACTATCGAAAGCTTAATACAGCAAAAGATGGACAGAAACAGCAGAGTCCAATACGCAACAAGCAGAAATATGAATCTATCAGGGAACAAATAATCAAAAGAAAGATCAGCCAAGCATACTCATTTTCTTCGAGGAAAATAAATTCTATTGCGTAAACATCTATAGCAAAAGATGGACAGAAACAGCAGAGTCCAATACGCAACAAGCAGAAATATGAATCTATCAGGGAACAAATAATCAAAAGAAAGATCAGCCAAGCATACTCATTTTCTTCGAGGAAAATAAATTCTATTGCATAAACATCTATATCAGACTATCCACCAAAATTTTGAGACCTCAATGGTGCACAGTTAATATATGCAAAGCCTCCAACTTGAGAAGTCAACTCATGGAAATGCTTATTCAAAACCTGAACATTCTTTGTTGCCGAACTATTTGTCAAGTGACTCGCCATCCAATGCCAGAGACAACATCAAAAAACACACTATTTGCTTTTCTCAAGATAAGGACAAATCCCAAAACGCGAAATCCTTACACCCCATTTGATTTTTACTGTATAAGGTGTGAAATTATATCATTAAAACCTCTGCTTGTTCTCTTTCTTTCCAAAGAATTATGAATCTAAGTACTAACATATGCAATTAACTGTCATGTGATGCAGTTTCAAGCAGTCAAAAGATTTTTGCTTGGATGCTATTAATAACAAAAAGTGATGAAGAACGAAGCTGTACTTATTTATGATAGTCGCAAAAAGTGACAAAACTTCAGATTCTCTAGCATCAGGCACATTCCTCGCGTAGTCCCCGAGAATAGGATCCATCATTGGAGGGACAAACTGCTTCCCTATTTGTGGTTGATCCTCAGCCTTGTCCAGAAATGTCTCGATCAGCTTTAGCGTTTCCCTCTTGACCGATCTATTTCCAGAAGCAAAACATAAGAAACCAACCCCAAATTTCTGTTGAAACTTAAAAACTGGTGCATAGATGACCTTACCGTAGAAGTTTGACAAATGATGATTTGGAAACAAAGGGCCCTCCCCCTGCAATGGTACTCGATATAAGCTCACTGTACATTCTGTTGCAACAGTGAGGAATTGATGAGTACCAAGCATCAGTCACAAAACCATAAGTGAATGCTGCAAATAAAGCCAAATTTTTATTCTTTCCAAAGTTAAAAGATATACCTATAAACATTAAGCATGTCCAAAAAGATCATCGAGATCTGTGACAAGAAGTATGTTCCAAGAGAACTTGCAACACTTGTATTTGTCTGCAAAACCAAAAACAAGTTATACAAGGGTGGCTTATAATATAATTAAACACTAGCAAAAAAATAAACAGTGGGCATCCAACTTTTAAAATAATGCACTCTTGAAAAGGACCAGAAGAGCATCTCATTATATCTTCAAATATTCACAAGTAAAATCCTGATGGCCCAACTTCTACTCTAACACAGCAAAGTTAACTTTTGAAACCAGAGCTTAGCCAACTTCTGTAAACAAGATACTACAGAAAAAACTTTCATGCAATTTCACATAACACTGATTATGCATTTAATTGACAGTCTTTAACCGGGACATCAGATCAAGATACTAAAGTTGCCGGAGTATTTCAGAAATCCTGAAACTCTATAGGTAAAGAGTTCCAGTAGAGTTGCAGAAAGAGGAGAAATTAAATGAAGATGGTATAATGACCAGTGAAAGTGCATTTATAATGGAGAAAACAAATCAACTGTATGCGAATACAAAATGCCAGACGGAAGCATCCCATGTAGGATTTTTGTCAGTCTTGGCCAAATTAACTCCCTAAAGGTCCAATGGCTCTGGAAAACTATAACCACTCTGTCCAACCATGTATCTTCCCATTAATATCTTTCACCAGATTAAAGAGACCACAAGGCTTGTATGCAAAATGAAAAACACCACAAGAGACATTAGCC